CCGAACCTGACCAACACGTTCAGCGCCGTTACGAACCGGGCGGAGGGGGGGGAAACCACAAACAACAAAAAAAAAATGGAAGTTGAAGTCACCGACAGCGAAGCAGGAGTTAAAGGAGGAGAGGCAGGACCTGATGCTGCAAACCATCTGCCTAATTAGTTCCACCGTCTGTCCATCCAGGGTCGAAGCGGAGGTCGGGGGTCTGAAGGTCGCCATGGGGACTCGATAGAGCAAGCAATGCAACGCTGCCAGGACGCAGCACTTCGCGCGCGCGGTAGGCGAAGAACTGGAACAAAGACTGCCGAATAGATACGAGGATCCCGCCAGAGCTGGCGGACGCACAGAAGGAGCCGAACACCCGCGCGTCCTTGAAATCATTTTCCAAAGTATCGAAGCCCCCCCGGCGACCGCGACTTCCCTGAATGCAAAGGACATCGCGTGAGCACCTGTACTTACTGCGGCTGCGAGCACGCCTGGTTGCTATCGAGCACAACAGTGCCTGCGCGTTCCACGCGCAGACAGAAAGGGGCTTGGCAGGCAAAAAGAAGCTCAGAAGGCGTGGCGGCGCGTCAGCATGCTGGAGCACCTCTCTAGCAAGAGGCGCAAGAACTGGCGCTTCGCGGTGGCCCCAAATGGGCGCGATCTGACTCTCGTCCCCCGGTAGCACCTGTCGCGGCGCATGAGGGATCTTGCCGGCCCCTGCTCGGACAAGGTGGACGGCTGCGACGTCCAGGCCCAACGGGCGGAGCTCGGCCCTGTTCGCATCGAAGTGGTACTCATCGTCACTCGTGCAAACCAGCTGGATGATCGGCCAGATTTCCCACTGGTCCATCAGCGACAGCACACCCATGTGGCCGCCGACGCGCAGGTAGCAACTGCCGCTCCAAGACCCGAGGCTCTTGCACATCGCTTCGATATGCGGGTAGGTGTTGGCGAAGATTCTCTTCCTAGCACGCGCATCAGGTGGTGGGCCACCACGAGCTCGAATATCAGTGTGTTTACCGTCTCGTTTGTTGATCCACTTGAAGCCGCTCTGCGAGTACATCAGGCGGAAGCGCTTCGCCTGGTCCACGGTGGGGAACTGGATCATGTACGCCTTGCCCGTCTCGTGGATGTGGGACGTCACGTGCTGACCACATCGGCGTAGTGTTCTAGCAACTTGTTGGAATGGCCCTGCATGACTTTCCCAAGAAAGGGCCGAGGCCACGTGCCCATGAAGACTTTGGTCTGGTCATTGGTCGCATGGTTGGGGACACCGAGCATCCTTTTCTTGGCCCCAGGTCCGTTAGAAGCAGTAGTCGCTCTTGAACTCGTGGAGGACGGAGTTATCGACTGGTTGGCCATCTGGCGCTGGAGCCTCTTGATAGCTTCGTCTCGCAAATTGAGACGTTGACTGATTGGCTGCAGCGCGTTACCAACGGCAGCACCCACAATATTGTTGATCTGCGTGGTGGGGGGGGCTTGGAGGTTCCGCTGCATCTGCTCCAACATAGCAGCAATCTCGGCAGCAGTCGCCATCGCTCGCCTTGTTGTGGCACTCCCGCGGCCGCTTGCAAGAGAGGGGGAGAGAGAGAGAGAGAGAGAGAAGTTTGCTGCAGCGGGGGCACAAGTCCCGCGGCAAAAGCCAGAAATTGACAGGCTGAACCGCCTTGCCTGCTGCGGACTACCGGTATCCACCTCTTGGCCAGGCCAAAATAAACATTTTGAGCCAAAATGGCTTGAGTCAAAATGGTTACGGAGAGGGGATGACAAGCAGGAGGAGGACGACGACCACCACCATCACCACGACGAGCGGCGACGGTGGCGACGACGTCGACGACGACGACGACGCTGACGACGACGACGACCACCACCACCACCACGACGACGACGACGTCGACGACTGGCAGTGAACGGCAAGCGGCGACGATGACGAGTATAACGGCGATGGCGGGGGCCACCGAAGGCTGCCGAAGGCCGCCGACGGCAGTCGAGGGCCACGGGCGGCCGCAGACGCCGAAAGGCTGCCGAAGAAGGCTGGAGGGTCGCCGCAAGACCAGCGGGGACGACGCTGCAAGGCCAGCGGGGACGGTCGCTGGCGGGGCGCGGCGAGCGCCGCGAGACGGGACGCGGCCTTGTCGTCCAGGTCGATGCCCATGCGCGCGCGCGCCCGGTGGGCGCCGCCGCGCTGGGAGACAGACGTCGCCGTGTCGGACTCCTGGGGCTCGTCCTCCTCCTCCTCCTCCTCCTCCTCCTCCTCCTCCACCACCACCACCACCACCACCACCACCTCCTCCTCCTCCTCCTCCTCCTCCTCCTCCTCCTCCTCCTCCTCCTCCTCCTCTCATCATCATCATCAATCATCACACCACCACCACCACCACCACCACCTCATCTCATCTCATCATCATCATCATCATCATAATCATCATCATCATCATCATCATCATCATCATCATCATCATCATCATCACCATCATCATCATCATCATCATCGTCATCATCATCATCAGCATCATCATCATCAGCATCATCATCATCAGCATCATCAGCATCACCATCATCAGCAGCAGCATCATCATCAGTATCATTCACGTCCTCATCATCATTCACCACCACCATCACAATCAATCGTCATCGTCATCGTCATCGTCGTCGAAGCCATCATCGCACCATCACCACCATCACCACCACCACCACCATCATCATCATCAGCAGCAGCATCATCAGCATCATCAGCATCATCATCGTCATCATCATCAGCATGATCATGATCATCATCATCAGCAGCAGCACCATCATTATACTCAGAATCAGAATCATCATAATCATCAGAATCACCAAAACCATCATCATCAGCACCAACAGCATCATCATCAGCACCATCAGCATCAGCATCATCATCATCATCATCATCATCATCATCATCATCATCATCATCATCATCTCAATCTTCATCATCATCATACTTAGCATAGTCATCATAATCATCATACTCGTCATAATCATGATCAGGAGTATTATCATCATCCTCATCATCAGCGGCAGACTTATTACATGGTAAGCTTGCTCGCTCCCATCGGCTCGCGTACCATTCAACACGTATATCCTAAACCCTCGATACCCGCGCTCTTCGTCTTCGGTTGTACCCCTACCTGCCGCGTGTATTTTGCGCAGCCCCTAACACAGGGGAAGGAAGGTAGGAGAGAAGAGACAAGGGGGAGGAAGGATGGAGCACGAGAGAGATTTGCCAGAGGAGCAGGAGTACAGGAGGCAGAACCAGACGGGCGGATCGGGCGGACGGGCCCTAACGGGCAGGTCGGGCGGTCGGGCCCAGAGGGCCAGGTAGAGCGAGCGTTTCCCTGAAGCGCCTCAAAGGAGTCAACAACGACACAAGCACATCGATCCTGGAAACTCCATCCTCCTTCCTCTGGCGGCGCGCACAAGGGGGTAGCGCGAGGGGAGGGGGGTTTCTAGACTGACCTGGTGGCAGCAAAGAATCTTTCTTAGAAGCGGGGGGGGTTCTAAAAACCCCCCGCCTTCTCAAAGGGTCCCCCCCACGCGCAAGCCCCTTGTGCGTGCCGCCGCCAATCCTCTTCCTTCATCATCCCTCCCGCCTCCCGTCCTGGCTGGCCCTGCCCAGCTCGAAGGTCACGTTGCCGGCCAACTCCGCGGCAACCTGGACTTGGCAGCACGGCCAGATCTGGTAGAAAGCGTGGCAGAGCGCCCGCTGCCAAGGCAGGTAGGCACCTGGCGACGACGACCACGACGACGACAACGACGCACTGAGTTCAATTGTGTCCAGCATTAAAAAGGAAACTACATGAACAACGTTCTCGTTTCCTTCGCGCTCGGGTCTCCTTCACATTCGGATGCTGCACACACGGGCGTTTCACGCAAAGGTGGTTCGCGTTTGGGCGTTTCGCGGCTCACATCTTGGTTTGAAGCGAAGAGAGAATCAAGGGAAGGGTGCGGAGAACAGGAAGAAGAGCAGGGAATGTGAGAATGGTATTACCCGATCCGTGTCCCCATGGGCGTGGCCTGGGCCCTACTGGCCGACTTACAACCCTAGATGGCTACATGGGGATATAGGCTGTACGTTTCGGGGTTCGAAGGGTGGATCCCCAACTGGGGTGCTGAGAGATGGCCAGGGTCTGGATAGGGATGGGGCTGGGGATTGGGGTCGGTAAAACGATACTGAAAAAGGGGTTCAGAACTGGCAGAAGCATGACGACCTCGCACCCCGAGACGTGTCGGCAGGGCGGGCTGGGCGTTTCGCTCGAGACTGCCTCACCAGTTGTGATCCTGGAACTTGACATTTGCAACAGCTTCACGGACGGAGGGCAGGGCCTTTTCAAAACGTAGTTTTCGCCATGGCGCCGCGCATAGCCGTCTTCAAATATGCAGCAGCTTCAGGGAGCCGCAAGGCTGAAGTCCTAGGAGTGGTGCTCTGGCATGCTTTAGAATGCGAACGACGCAACAGTCGTTCTGGCACGATGTAAGACTGTCAGGACGCAACAGCCACGGTGATTCGCGGCGTTGAAATCCCGGGAACTGCGTTCTGGCATGTCTGGGGATTGTCAGGACGCAAATGTCACGTTGGTCCGCGGCGTTGCAGTCCCAGGAATTGCGCTTCGGCACGATTGATGATCCTCGCACGTTGTCTTTCAATTGAACACCTCCCGCAATTACATCTATTGTCCGTTGGAGTCTACGAGGAAGAGACAGACAGACAAACACACACACACACACACCTTCTGTCGGGCAAGAGCCCTACCGCCGCGGGGCTAGGGTGGCAGGCACCGCGGTGCCTCAGCACTTCGCGAAAGCCTCTTCCAAACGTCTCCACGCAGCCGCTTCTGCCACCCATCCGGGCCGCTCCGCGTCAAACTCAGATTCGTGATCACGCAGAAATAAATTAATACTGTTTTCCCAACGTTTGTGCTGTCCACCACGCCGGCGCCCCCGCGCCCGCGACTCTTCCCCGGCGCCCCATTGAATAATCGATCTGGCCCATGCGCCCGGCCTCGCGAGGGCGGCGCGGGCTGCGAATCGTCGCGCTCTGCGTCTCCAAGCAACTACCCAAGAATCCAATTGCAAAGCGCTCATATTCTGCTCCAGAGAATGAGTCACCCGTCGCATCCAATGAACCCAAGGTCCCAGGTCGTCGGCTGCCACTCTGCAATCAAGATCCCCTTCCACAGTAGAACAACTCTCTGTAGCGTCGCTGCTCTCGCACGTAAAAAGAACCGCCTCTGGGACCGCGTTGCCCCGTGTCCTGCGCCGCCCAACAGCGAGAACCACCCAGAGCATCCGTCACTGCGTCGTTTGGAGCCCACGTTCGGCACTTGTCGCTATTGTCCAACTCGACAACCCGCGCAGGGCTGCAGGTCGACAACTCGACAACTCGACAGCTCGACAACTCGACAACTCGACAACTATTGTCCAACTCGACAACTCGACAACTCAACAACGCCCTCGAAAAGCCGCAGACGGTTGCGGAGAGAGCACTGCTCGCTGGTTAATTCCTGCTCGTTGCACATGAACGCACGTCAGCCTCGACGGATTCGGCGGTCGATCCCCGCCCCCGCGCGCTCGCCCAAGGTAGGTGGCCAAGCGGCCCAAATATTCGACAGCGCCCTCGAGCGGGAAGATCTCGACATTCATTCCATCGACTGCGGCACGCGCCCGGATGCCACGACCGGCGCCTCTGACCGCGTTCGCGGAGACCTTGGCATTGTCCGCGCGCAAAGTAAACATCAAAGAACTCAGCGGGCCCCCCTGTCTCGTTCCACGCGCTATATGGAACCACCAGCCGTTGGCGTCTGCGCGCGTTTGAGCTCTCTGGCCGCTGCATAACTATACCGGCAGCTGACTGCATGGACGTGGAACGCGTTACCCCGCCAGCACATGCCATAACTCTCGGTGCTCCATAAGACCGACAGCCATGTGATAGTCTGGCACAGCACGCCAAAGACGGACCCGGAATTCGCCCGACTTCCCCTGTAAAATGGCAACCGTGAAGAGGTTATCCCCCGCGCTAAATCCACGGCAGAATCCAGCCTGATCTGGATTTCGCCCTGGCTCCAACAAAGGAGAAAATACGTTGCAAAGTAATCGCGCAACTACTGCGCAAAGCACTGGGATGATCGCGCAAGCCTCTCGTCGCCAGCTTTCCGGGTTACTGCGATCATCGCCTGTCTCCATGCATCTGCTGGCTCTGCGACCGGGTCCAAAACGCCACCATGCAGCTCGGTCAGGGCATCCATAAAATTTCGCCGCCATACGATAACATCCCATTAACTACTCCAAGGCTGCATGCACAACGGCCCTTCTTTACTCGCTGCATGGCTCCGCCCACTCCCCCCCGCGCGAACGCGAGCGCGCAGTCGGTCGCAGGCAGGTCCGCAACTCCCCCACGGAGGCCATGCGGCACTTCGACTCATAGAGCTCCTCAACGAAAGAAGCGAAAACGCTTGGCATGCCAATTCTGGAAGTCAACTCTTTGTCACCATCAAGCATGCTCGCTATCAGTCTTTTCTGCCGACTGCTTGGATCCGTCGCACTGATCCCAGGCCAGAAAACGTCTTCCAAAATATTATGAACGCGTTCTGCTGCGCCAACATTTCTCGCGGCCTGGATTGTATTGTAGATCTTTTTGCTTATAGTATAGCGCCCGGTGGAACCCTGATTGAAAATCTCCTCGCACCGATTGGAAATCTCCTCGCGCTGCCCGATCAGCTCTTCGATCTGCTTTTGGTGAACCATTGCTGCAGGATTGCGCTCATTCTGCTTGTCTTCTGCGTTTCCGGTCGCAGTTGAAACCAATAATTGCTCGATCTGGACAGCTCCCCCCCAGACGTCGCTCTCCGAGGTGGCGTCGCCCAGCTGTCGCCGCAAGCCGCCCCCGCATTTGCCGCGCGCAATTCTCCTCCAAATGACGCCCGGGCATCGCTTGGACACCCAGACCCCCCGTTGGAAAATCACGCGCGCAACCCCTAAAGAGATTCAGCCCCACGGCAGAATGGTCCGAGACAAGAACTAGACAACGTTCTGAAAAGCAGTCGCGCGTGCATTTCCATCGACCACGGTCCACCATTATGATATCGAAGCGGCGTCGTTTGCCATTGCTGCCCGCGCGCGTTGCCCGCCCAGATATAGGCTTTGAAAAGAAAGCACTGCATAATATCGTCACCACTGTCCTCTCGAGTTCCCGGACAGCCTGCCCCACGCGCCGATCGCTCTGGGATCGTCTGCGCCAATGCGACTACCAACCTGCGCATTGACATCTCCATCTAGAACGACATAGCATGCTTCTCGTCTTTGCTTCCTGCGCCGCTTCTGCCAAGGCACTGCAGAGCGCTTGCACGCGGACGCCGGCGCACTTGGTGCGGGGCTGACACACTGAGACGGCGTCGCGAGGTCCAATGACCACGTCCGCAAACGCGAGCCTTTCATTCACAACTGTAAAACGCAAAACTGCGTGTGCCATTTTTTGTGGATCATGACGGCGACGCCCCGCTGGTTCTTCAGTCCGCCAGGCCTCATTGCGCAGCGCGATATCCAAGCGCACTTTGGACAATTATTACCCTCACTCTGCGAATCTATCGACGGAGATAAGTGCCCCTGCATTTAGCCTGTCGATTCTCTGCTTTTCCGCCGGCTGCGTCTCGACGCCACGCAGCGCCCCCAACGGAACACGACCACAGACATACCTGATTGACCGGCCCCTCTACCACAAGATGTACATTTTCATATTGGTTGACCCTGCAGGGGCACAATTGACAACAAGCCTTCGCGGGGCGCGAGATTGTGATAGGCAACGCCCCGTCACAGGTCGGACTCCGCATCGGGGTGCACGTCAAGCTTGTCCTTTCACTTCGTCATCGCCTCCAACACCTCGTTTTCCACCGTGCATGCTGCACGCGAAGTTTTCCACTCCCCGCCCTCGAACCACGCCATCCTCTTCTTGTTCACATTCATCATCTTCTTCACCCATAATACCCTGACCTCTCCTTCCTCGACCACCTCTTTCTCGACAAGATCCGCCGACCCCTTGGGTCATCGGCGTGCGAGATGCTTCCCCCTCCCCAAACCCCTCCCCCGGGAACCCGGCCCGGTCGATTTGGATGGGGGGGGGGGGGGCACCACGAGCGACTCACGACGCTCTTCCGGACCCAAAAGGGCCCAAATACAGGCCAAGAAGGCCCCACGAGGCCTCCCAGACGTTCAAAGAGGCCCCCAGACGCCCCAAGAGACCGCCTAGACGCCCTAAGAAGCGCCCAAGAGGCCCCAAGAGGCTTCCAAGACGCCCCACGAGGGCTCCAAGACGCCCGAAGAGACCTCCAAGACGCCCCAAGAGACCTCCAAGAGGCCCCCGAGGAGCGCCCCAAGAGGCTAATTGTTCATTGGTTTTTCGATGTTTTCGTCATTTTCGCCTTTTCGGCCTTCCGACGCTCCAAGACAGCCCAAGAAGCTCCCAAGACTGCCCCAAGACGGCACAAGAAGCCTCCACGACGCCCCCAAGACGGCCCAAGAGAGCCCCCAGACGGCCCAAGAGCCGCCCAAGGCGGCCCAAGAGAGCCCCCAGACGGCCCAAGAGCCGCCCAAGACGGCCCAAGAACCTCCCGGAGACGGGCCCAAGAGGGGCCCCTGAGAGAGACCACGCACCGGAAAACACAGCCTCACGCCCCAAGAGGCCCCCAGGAAGCCCCAAGAGGCCCCAAAGAGGCCCCAAGAACCCCCCAAGA